AAGAGTCCAAGAACGTTTGCTTTCAATTGCAACTGCCACTACTCGCCCCAAGAGTCCCAGAATGTTTGCTTTCAAAGTGACTATTTTCACGTTATCTTGAATGACTGCTTCGAGTTTGCTATGCAAGTAGCCCAGAAAGTTATGTAGCGTTGTTTGTGAGAAATTGAAAAAGATGAAACATACTTTGCTCTACGAGGCGATTGTATGGTAACTCAAGCTTTACTCGAAACATAGGAGTTACATAGGTTGACTAAAGTTACACTGCCGAGCTAAATTAAAAAAAAAACTTGTTGTTTCAAACTTGTTGGTCCTAAAAAAAAGTTCACCGCAACAAAATTCTTATTATAGGTCGTTGAATTTCAAATAAATTTGCATCAGAAACAAAAAATCAAGTTAGTTTTGGTCGACATTAAGCATATTTTTTGAAACTTATGTTATTGTCGATAGAATCAAACTGAAAAACCGTATTAATTATAGATCACACTAAACGTTTTCTTTGGAATTTGGTATTTCCAGCATACAAAAGCTCAAAAATGTTTTACAAAACTAAAAACTCGGTTCGAGTGCAGGAGGCATAAAACACCCGGAACACATCAAAGGCTAAAACAAATCATAAAATTCTTTTCTAGTTGCACAAACAAATGTGTAGGATATTTGTAGTAAAATTATGATTGGATTCAGTTGATCCCAGTTCAAATCAAATCAAATCATATCAAACTTGAGCATAAAGTTAGGAGTATCAATCAGGAGAATAGTTTTTGTTTCATCGTTTTAATTTTTTTCCTTGAATCAAACTAATAGTTAAGCAAGCTATTGCAGGGTCAAATTTTTCTCCGAAAAACTCCTGTCAACAAATTAGTGGAAAACTCAAAAACAACACATGTAACTCAAACTCACCACTTTTTTTAAGAACTGTTGCCGACTTGGTAGTTTCCTCTAATTTTCTGGTTAGCATAGTGTCGACGTTTTTGTTCAGAGCTGTAGTCACCGTGACCAGTTTCTGATATGTCGAGTTCAGACAACCAACCGCCTCAGTCAATTGACCCAAAACCGTCGTGAGTGCTTCTATTTTCTCGCCCATTTCATTTTTGTGCTGAAAATCAAAACTTTTAAGAATTAAAGTTGATGACCACAGTAGCTTTAGATTTCTTAGGCTACTTTCGAAAAATTCAATGGACAAATCAATACCAGTTGAACCACCCCAGATTTTTTCGATGAATTTAAGTTACTCTATAAAATTTATCATGCTTTATCGGGCCGCTACTGAAAATGATCAAACCTGCAGGACTGTAACACCTCGTGCTGCTTGTTTAGGTGTCACCCAGTTTTTTCTCGGTTTTTGTAGAGAATATGGTGTTGATGTGCCTTGTTTTGCCGCCATTATCGAGTTGTTAAAAAGAATCATAGTGCGAAGACCGCTTGACACCTAAATTGAAAAAAGTTTTCGTAGCAGACAATTTTTTAAACCAAAAAATTACTCCTCCAATCTTTTTAACTCTGAATCTTTTTAACTCTGAATATTTAATTTGAACTTGCATATCATTTGATTTTATCACAAGTCGAATTGGAAAATGAACACTCTACCTGAAGTAACTGTTAAAATTTGGCGCATTATCCAAACCATCCGTTAGCTTTCATCATTGTTAACTTGTTTCACCTCATTTTTACAACAATAAAAATTGACGGATATATATTTTATTATAAGCTTTTTTGAGAAGTATATTGAAATAAAGAATTTTTGAAATATTTTTCTTTCACTCATTCAATTTTTTAATTTTAATCTCTATAACAACCGTTACTTCGATTATCATCAATCCTCAACCTAATCTATAAAACTAAGAATTGGATTTGCAAAAAAAAAATTTTTTTTTACAGAAATGTTCGAGTTATACAAATTTTTCAATATAGTGGGTTTTTAAAAGTTTTCAAGCAAATTGAAAATTACTTTGCTTGAAGTCACTCAAACAAAATTGTTGCTAATAAGCTGAACAGTGGTTTGAATTATAAGTTTTTTTTCCAATTTTTTCCATTCAAAAATGTACACATCAATATCAAGCGTTTGCTATTTTTCTTATGGATGGAAAGCAAACAAATGAAAATGAAGGTCTTTTCCTAGTACAAAAAACTCATGTGATGCCAAGCCGCCTTGTTGTACTGAATCACAGATGTTAAATGTTAGTCTCTTGTAGCACAAACCTTTTGATAAATGCTGAGTCTAACTTACAATTTTTATCACTGGACTTTCCGTGGTGTCAGCTCTCAGATCCCAGATATTCTGCCACATCCTCATGAGTAAGGTTAACCACAATGTTTTTATCTAATTGCCCGAGCGCAGTAGCATCGAAGTTACTTTGGTAGTCCAAATCGGCTGATTCAACGTGCTGAATCTCTGACTCCACTTCTTCGGATCTTTCCTTTTCATTTTGTTCTGCTTGGATTTCAGCGATCGTTTTCGGCATGTAGTATGTATTATCATATTATCAACACATTCAGTTCCTTGATCTTGAAGTAGTTTTATGTGACCCGACAGCTCAACGAGGCATGCGTTACAAAATGTTTCTGCACCAATTGCTATTGTCAGGGGCTACAATATGTTCAGTTGTCAATCATCTTAGTTGCTATTCTTTATTTATTTATCTCTGAGATTTCTCAAACTATAATTAAGTTTGAGTTTGGTACCTGCATGTCAATCAACTTAGAACTGTCTAGCTGTTATGTGTTGACCTCTAGTTCACTCTCTTATTTATGCGAACTAGAATACAGTCAATTGAGTATTTAACAGCCATCGTTTTATCAACCCTTGTTATGGCGCAGTCAGTGGATGGAGGGGGAAAAACCCCCTTGGAATTGTGGCTTTCTGGCCTCCGAATCAGGCGGAACCACAACTCTTATGGGAACACTGGAAACAAAGATTTCATTGGGCAATGGTGGCGAAACATGGACTAGTCTCGTCGGAATATTACTTCGCATCGACATTAACTGAAGCACAGATTAATGACCTGGGTAACATTGGTGAAAAACCACGGGCAGAAGGTGAACGTACACTGATATCGAATCTGTACCTATGCCTGGGACACGAGGGACAGAGAGCCTTGCATAATCAGCATCCACATTTAGATATGGAAACAATACGATACCCACGTTTTTTGGATACCTGTGTAGCTCTTTTTCAGAAAGAGCGAAACGAAACGTACGAGATGTACCAGATGTTGTCGAGGAAACAAAAGGAGGGTGAAAGCTTAGAATCGTTCTATGCAGAACTTAGTGGAATGGCGGCAAGATGCAATTTGGACACCCAGGAGCGGAAAATGGTGAGAGACAAATTTATTTTCAACATGAGGAACAGGGACGCGCAGAACGAGCTGTGTAGGGAAACTGAAACCCCTGAGGAAGCATTGAGAATCGCAATGTCATATGAAAGAGGAGACAAGTACGCAAAGAGTTACAAGGGCGTCGCATCCGGTTCCACGGGAATGGCGTATTCATCGCCAGGAGATTCCCTGCAGATCAAAACGGAACCAATCAGCAATATTCGTGGATCCAGGGGACGAGGAATGCCAAGGGGACGGGGCCATTATCCAAATCGTGGAGGAGGTCGAACACAAAAACGAATGCAAGAGCGAAGATGTTACAATTGCGATCAACCGAACTTCACCCCAGAACACCGACAACGATGCCCAGCAAGAGCCGTCACATGCAATTTTTGCAAAAAGATCGGGCATTTTGAGAGGACTTGCCGGGGAAAACGACAATCCAGGGGGGGACAACCGGTTGGATTAATCCAAAAGGATGAGCTATTCGAGGAAGAAGATACCCCCTCGGATGACGTGGGGCCCCAAGTTGCGGCAAATTCAGTAGGTTTCGTTAAACGAGAACACCACAGCTGGTCATCAGAAAGTTGAGACGACTACATGGTTATGGCAATTAGACGGAAGAAGGAAACAGTATTGAAAGTTGCCGGACCTAAACTCAAAATATACATTAATGGGCACCCGATGAACGTTTGGATCGACAGTGGATCGCCGATATCTATTTTAACACTAGAAGATTTGAGGAGAACAGTGGGAAGAGCGGGAATTAATTTAAAACAAGATGACACTGACTATGACGAATTCCGGGATTACAGTAACAATCGGATCAAGATGTTGGGCAGAATGGAACTCGAGTTAGCATCAAACGGCTGGAAGACGAAAGCAGAAGTCCGAGTCATTGGGGGGACCAGACCATCCATCGTGGGATGTGATTTGATGGGGAAACTCGGACTCCAGTTGATGCAAGTAGATCCAAGGGGGGAAGTAATGAATATCCAGGGGACGGAAGACACTTCATGCAATGAGGGGCACGACGAACCGGAGGATGAGCAGATGGATCAATGGCAATTATTATTCAGTAAGCTATTCCCAAAACTTTTTACCAGAGTTGGAAAAATTAGGAACTACAAGGTTCAAGCAGAATTTTTCAAAAATCTTGTACCAGTGCAGCAGAAGGGACGGAGAGTGCCGGTAACGCTCCAAGAAAAGGTGGACAAGGAAATTGATAAGCTAGTAAACCAGGGACATATAGAAAAGTTGAAAGAGTGTTCGGATCGATATTTTGTTTCTCCGATCGTCATCACCTTAAAAAAAGACGGGTCCGTAAAGTTAGCATTGGAATCTCGAGAACTTAATAAACAAGTTCATAAAAACAAATACCAAATGCCAAATATAGAAGAACTTGTAGATACAATAGGACAACTTATTTCCGAGAAAAAACAAGGGGAGGTGTACTTTACTACGATGGATCTAACGTTCGCGTTTGGGCAACTACCGCTTAGTGAAGAAGCAAGCGTGCACTGTAACTTTTCTTTGGTGGGCGGACCGTCGACAGGAACATACCGATTTCGAACAGGGTTTTACGGGCTAACGTCCATGCCGGCAGAGTTCCAACGAGTAATTGACTCAATTTTGAACGAATTCCCACAAGCGAACGCGTTTATTGATGATATTTTGGTTACAACCAAGGGAACGGAAGTAGAACAAATCTTCTTGGTTGAAAAAATCCTCAGGAAACCTAACCGCGAAAACATATCGCTGAAATTACCAAAATGCGAGTTTGCGAAACGAGAATGCGAGTGGCTCGGTCATCGTATAACCGAAACGGGGGTTAAGCCGCTTAAACGCAAAACATCGCCGATAGACGCATTAAAGGCTCCTAAAACAGTCACTCAATTGAAATCATTTATGGGCTCAATCCACAGCTTGCATAAATATTTACCAGCGATAGCGGATATGTCAGCTCCATTAAGGCCACTTCTCAGCAAGAAAAACGAATATAACTGGACCGCGGAATGTGAAAATGCTTTCCAAAACATTAAATTGGGGGTCGCAAACATAGTTGAATTAAAACATTTTGATCTTCATAAAGACATTAGAGTTGTTTGCGATGCAAGTCATAATGGCCTTGGAGCGGTTTTAGAGCAATTGGGTACAGAAGGGTGGCGCCCTATCTCTTTTGCATCACGATTCTTAAACGCAGCCGAGAAAAAATATTCCACTAACGAGCTTGAAATGCTGGCGGTGGTATGGGGGGCCAAATAATTCAGAAACTACATCTTAGGAAGATCCTTTACAGTTATCACGGACCATAAGGCCCTAATTTCATTACTTAACGGGAATAACAAGAAAAACAAAACTCTCTTTTCAAGATTGACACGTTGGCTAGACAGACTGATTCCTTTTGACTTTGTAATAGAACACAAACCGGGCGCCAAGATCGGATTAGCAGATTACTTGTCAAGGCATCCTAGCGAACCCCCAAACCGATAAGTCAATATGATAATTTGTTCACCGTGGCAAAAATCGCTTCAATTAGAAAATCCCTTGGTTTCACAATCGATTTAAAACCCCTTGGTGAAGGAAATTTTCAGGATATTAAAGAAACTGGTTCTAAACAGTCTAGACGGTTTTCATCCAATCAAAAGCGAGAACGGATAACATGCCTACAAACAGCGACGGTTGAGGGCGGAAAGTCATGCGTGAAGACACCGACAAATAGGAAACGATCAATTTGCATAACGCGTAAATCAAAGAAATCCAAGGGACATTCAGTGTGCTCTATATATTGTTCCCTTGGAAGACGGTTAAATTGGCCTACATCAAATAATTCAAACAAAATGGATAGCGATTCTAATTGTTTTTTCCCAGTATTTGAAATTGAAAATGTTGAAAATGTTGAAATTGATTGCCAAACTAACTCTCCGAATATACTACAACCTCAGATCAACTCTCCGCTTAGATTAGATGAAAACCGATTGATTAGCGATAAAATAACTGTCATTAACCCTGAAATTGTTTCAATTCCTAAAAATACACGGGATTCAAAAATTAATACAGTACTTTCTATACCTTCGAAATTCCCAGGCGAGCTTTTTCCTACCGTTAATCCAAATCAGCAAATTATGTCTATCATTCCCCGTAATTGCAAGGTTATCAAGAAATCCCAAGCGTTACCAGAACTATTTAATTTAGAATTTGTTGCCTCAAACATACCGGCGGATGTGAACTTAGTACGAATAAAAGAAGCATTGGAGAAGAAGATTAACTTAAAAGAAGAACTCCTGAAGATTGGGAAGTACTGGGCCCAATACGCAAACGATTTGTCATTACGGGACAATTGTGTGTGGTTGGATGGACGGCTGGTCATTCCTTTGCCATTACAAGTCCCAATTGAGTCGCGGATACATTATTACCATCACGGTAAAAGAAACATGTATGAAGCAGCGCGTGACGTCTGGTATCCCTACATGTACAGCAGTTTGGCAGCAAAGGCCAAGTACTGTCAGCAATGCACGGAAGCGGGTAAGAACCTAAAATCGTTATTACCCAAGGGAGACATGGGGAAGGTCCCTGAACCAAGGGAACCCAATGAAAGTTTACAGTTGGACTTCTGGGGGCCAATAAATTACTTAAATGAGAGTAAGAAATATGTCCTGGTTGCTACGGACCGCTTCTCATGGTGGCCATCAGCAATGGTAACTACCACTAACACGTCAGATAAAGTCTTAAAATTTTCGATAAATACATAACTCATCATGGAGTACCTCGGAAAATCCACGTTGATCAGGGATCATGTTTTACATCTAATAAATTTAAAAGCTTCTGTAACAACGAAGGCATCGAGCTAATGTACTCCCTAGTGAATGATCATCGAGGCACGGGGTCAGTTGAACGGACAATAGGAAGTTTGAAGAATTTTGTCCTAACATATGCGACTGAAAAAGAGCATA